CGGAAAATTTGAAAAAACAGTGAAAACGAGCGAAAAAATTTTAAAAGTTTGAATTCGCGCGCTTTTACTCATCGGGCGGCTTAGAAAAAACCTCGTCCCTAAGGGCTTTCAGCATATTTTTCGATGCGTCTTTCTCGATGAAGGAATTTTTTTGAATTTTTTCTTTACTTTTAAGTCAATCTACATGCATTTCTGCACATTTTGATGCAATAAAAAATTTCACCGTACACCACCTTTAACATTTTATCAGTTGACCGCTTTTTGATTTCTTTGATAGGAATTGAGAAAAAATGGTTCACAGTTAAAAGTAAAAAAAAACCCTTCTATTACAGGTTTTACGGTATCTTAAGTTTTTAATACTTGCCATAATGCCAGCAATTAAATATATATTTACATGTTTGATTTTTAACGGCTTGTTAGAAAGCTAACTTTGGTAATGATATCATCGGAAACTGCTCCAAAACTTTCAATTCGATTATCGAGAAGCCTGTAATAGAAGGGTCCCCTAACTTCTGACTTTGAGCTAATTTGTCTTGGTTCCTGTCAAAGATATCAAAAAGATGTTGGCTAATCAGAAGTGTTTTGTCAGTTGACCACTTTTTGATATCTTGAATATGAGCCAAGAAAAATAATCTCACACCTGGCAAAGGGGGGAGGGTCTTCTAAATATAAGATTACATGTTTCAAGGTAACTGGAAAAAACGTTCCACTTTTAGCCTATATATCTCACTTCTTTTAATAGATATAGACAAGTTGCCAACTAATAAAATGTTAATCATAATATCAGCAACATTTTATTGGTTGCCCACTTTTTGATATCTTTCACAGAAAATGAGATACATGGGCTCAAATTTGACGATTCGAGTGGCGTTCTATTAGAGAGTTTGATGAAGATTTCGATATCGAAAATTTTTATTTTATCAATTATATTACAGAATTTTTAAAAATATACGGTATTGGCTTTCTTAATGGAAAAATACTGTAACGGATAAATACTGTAATATGCTAACTTTTTTTGGTAACTGATAAAAAACCTGATTTGGATTTAAATATACTCAAAAATTACCAAATGATCCAGATACTTTAAAATTCATTTTTCTAATTTTCGTTATCCTTCCCTTTTTGATAAGGGCATCGAATCTTATCAATGCATTTTTAGAACAAAGGGAAAGGGTTCTAAAAATGATTGAGACGTGAAAAAGAAGAAGAAGAAAATTGAAACGGAGAATAGGGGTAGACGACCCGAATGTGTGTCTTCTCGATCGGTTCTGAAGTGAAATAAAGGAAAGAAGACGTCGGTCATCGGACACAAGAAGTGGGCGGAGTCCTTATCTGTTAGTTTTTGAGAGAAAGTTGAGAGAGATGAGGAGGAGAAAATTGGTGGTAGTGATTTTCAGAGAAGGGGGAGAGAAGACGAAAATTAATTAGTAATGATAACTAAAAAAGGTCGAAAAAACACTGAAAACTGGTTTCATGTCTCGGTTTTTCTAAAGATCAATTATGAAACAGAAAATTGAGAATTGAAATGACCAGTAAGGAAAACTAGAAAAGGATTTTATGAAACACGAAAGTCAACATTTTATGAAATAATCTGTTTTCTGAAATAAAATAAAAATCGTATATAGCCAAATATTTAGCTCCAAATTTCCAGTTTTCCTTCATTTTTCAAGGACCCGGGCAAAGTAAATATTCAGCTTTTACACCTACCAAGATCCAAAAAGTCTAGTTTTTTCTACAAAATTTCAGTGACTCATAACTTTCAGAATTGCAAACTTTTCGACAACCCAAAACTGTCTTTGACCTTCTTTTTTTCAGTAAAAAGTGAAAGTTTTCGGATGGTCATCGTTCCGTGACACATCGCGAAAATTTTTAACTTTACACATTCACAAAAGAGAATACTTAGGTTCGAAATGGTTCGAAGAATTCAAGAATTTGCTGATATTGACCTCGAAAGTTATATTCTTGAAATGTTTCTGTCCTATAAGAGATATTGTCTCCGGGAAATGAAAAATTTTATCGAAAACATATGCTGTTGGATGTGGGAACAGAAATCAGCTGAAGAATTTTCATAAGCAGCAAAAATCAAAAAAGTGGGGGAAAATTATTATTTAGGTTTCCGAACTTTTGGGAATCATATCTCCATTTTTCTCGGATTTCGTATTTTGAGATCTGGAATTAGGATATTTCTAGGGTTACTGTAATTCGTGTTTTCATGAAAAATCAGACAGCTGAACGAAATTCCGGAAATTCCACGATTCCCAGGTTCTTTGGAATGAAATTCCGACCGGAATATTTCTGAATTTTTGTTTTCAGAATTAGAGCTTTTCAGACTACGGTATATCAATACGATTTCAATATTCCAAAGTTTTATAAAATCTGAATATTCCGAAAATCTGAAATTTAGAAACTTGTAATTTTTTATATTCTGAAAAATTCCGAAAAGACCATTCAGAACCATTAAAACTGAATTATGAAATCTGGATTTGGCTCTAAAACTTAAACTGAATATACAAATATTTCAAGGTTCGGAACTAATAAAATGTGTTAAGAACTTTCTTAAAAATTTTTAAACCATTGAAAAGTTAAATTCAAGGTTTCCTAGAGACGTAAATCTTTTCGTCAATTCTCATTAAAATTTTTAGAGAAATTCAGTCAAAAATAGATTTTTTCAGAAGATTATATCTCCCTCCTCCTTTAAATTCATCTCACCGTCTTCTTCTATTT